TCTGTGGACCCTTCAAACAATAGATGAACAATTTACCTTTTAAATATCTGAAGTTTTTTATTTTTTTATTTTTTAGTTAAGGGTCTCCAGGGTCTCACTCCATAGATGGGACTCTCAGTGATCCTCCTGTGTTCAGCCTCCCAAGCGCTGGGATGACAGGCGTGCACCACCACGCCCAGGCTCCACCGCCAGCTCAGCACGTCCTGGGGGCAGGGCTGGCACGGCACGCTGGGGATCAAACCTCAGTCCCTGCATCTGCCTAAGCAGGCGCTTAAATCCGCTAAGCTATCTGGCCGACCTGTAGTTTATTTAATTTTATGGAATTATGTTTATAAAAGACAAAAGCAATATACTATGTACGTTTTAGAAAAGGAAGTTAGCATTCTATTTTATATACTTCGCAGTGGAGAGTAGGCCTACTTAACCTTTTTCTGTACCAGTGAAATTGATCATCTCTATCTGATTGGGCAAGAAAAGAACATAGCTGTGCCAGTTTCACATGACAAGAGTGATACTATTATAGATTCTTCTGATATTCAAAGGAAAATAAAGGAATACTGTGAGCAGCTCTATGTCAATGAAGGCAGTTTAGTTGCAATGAACACATTTCTTGAACACAAATCACCAAAGCTCACTCAAGAAGAAATAGATATTCTGACAGCTTTCACTTTTCTTATAGAAATGCACACTGGAGCCGAAAAGCTTCCCCCAAAGAAACCCTTTCTCTGTAAGCAGAAGGCATGAGAGAAATAGATCTGATTACCGAGTTGTCCCATGGGCTCTGTACATGCCCACGGGGGCCCGAGGAGAGAGGCGCATAGTCAGTCAGCTCAATGGTGTGGCCGCAGCGGAGGGCCACGCGAGCATCTGCATCACATCACTCACCTGCACGCTGTTTTTAATGGCAGCCACCTTGTGCTCCACGTTCCTCTGTCTTTCTGAAACTGAAGAACTCTGTAAGGATTTCTCCAGGGGTCCCTGGAAAAAGGTCTTGGCATTTCACTGATGTTGATGAAAC